GAAAAACATAATTTTTTGGCATCTTTCTAAAAAGGCTGCATGATATCAAGAAAATATTTAAATAAATACTTAAAGATTAACTGAAATTTATTAACTCTTCTGATACTGTACCTTTCTGAGACGTCTCTAACATTTTCTGTGAGCTTTTAACATTTGAACCTAAACATTATGCTGTTGTCAGATGAGACAGACAAAAAAAAAAAAAACAATGTGAAAGAAAAAAATATCTTTAAAACACCTGCTGTCTTTGATGCTTTCAGCCAAAGGTCTATAAAAGGCAATGGGAATGTCATTTCAGGAACCATTTGGAAGATCAGGAGATTATAGATAAAAAGATTGTAGACTCTACTGGGGATCTGTACATTTTTTAGCCTTCTCAATACCATAATATTTCAAAACACTTGGATCTAGATGTAGTATTTAATGTCCAATTAGCAGAAAGGAATAAACAACTATTGTGCTCATGGTTATCTGTTGCTGTTCTTCCAGTGATTTGGTTAAAACGTTTATTTCCTAATCTGCTTTTTGTACATTTCTTTGCCAGTAAAGTCTGAGATTATATTTCAGCAATGAAACATATTTTAAAGATCATTCTCCATACCTGAGCTGAAATAATAGTGCTGTTTTTTGTAAATAGACATCAGTGGCAATGTCCTATAAAGCCACAAGCGAAGGTGAACAAATAGCATTATTAGTAGTCAGGATTTTATAGTTAATCAGTGAATGTTTTTTATTTCGCTGAACAAAAATAGACCCCATAATCCAATGCTTTCATGTTTCCACCATCTGATCTTTGAATCAGCAGGGAGCTGTATGAAGTCTTATTGATTTGACTTTCAGTCAGTGAGACAAACAGCAACATGCCCTGGCTTTAGATTGCACAGAGATCTGGAAAAATATTTGAGAGCAAAACAGTACGGACTGACTTGTATGTCTGTATTGATGTTTTTTGGCCAGATCAGCAGGAGAAAAAGTAAACATTTATAGTTAAATGTTTGAGGTTGGCTTGTTTGCCTGTACATTCAGCAGCCAAGGTCTAAAGTTTAATTTTATTTATTTTTGAGGCTACCAAGCACTTACGTATGACTAAAACATTGAACAATGCCAATGACTTGTTCTAATATTTTTATTATTTTAGTTTAAAAAAGGAAGAGACAACCCATTGTTATACAAATATTTATTGTGCATAAATATGTGGCAAAGCAACAGTTTTACATGTTTTACACAGATTAGGACATATTTTTGTGTTTTGTACACAAATTGCTTTTATTGTAACATCACAGCATTGTTTTAAACCACTCTAGTTGCATAGATTGAACAAGGGTAAGCACCTTTTCAAAGTAGAGTAAAACAATCCTATAAAAGTTTTCAGGGAAATAACGGATTATTTCATTATATAATAGATTATTTCCCTAAACTTTGATTTATACAACCTTCATATGTTTCCAGGACTCAGATCCTCACAGGCTCATTTGTATTCAGGTCATTCTTGATTCAGTTTGGAGTCTTGTTGTCCCCCTGACTCTCCACCCTCCCCAACACCTCCTCCTGCACATGAAACAGAGCTGTGCCAAAGAACGGCTTCCGTTCAAGGTTTGCTTTAAGTCTGCATATATTGATGTGCTGTATGAACTAGACAAGCCCTGTAAAATTCCCTTTATTAGATTATTCCAGATCCAAAGTCCATTCTACTACTTGTTTCTAAATGTCACTTGGAAATATCCAATTGTGTCTGTGTAACAAATTTCCTTTCATTCTCAAAGTCAATTGGAAAAGGGGCTGCTAGTGGTTGAAAATGGCTGTTATAAACTATGCTGTGTTGCTTTGCTGGAGCTTACATTAGACTCACTGACAAATACCTTTATTCCGTTGTGGTATTTCCGATGTTATGAAATAATTTTCTCTCCTTACTGATCCCATTGCAAAAAAAAAAAAAACAATAACAAAAACTATAGTAAATGGATGCAAATAAGAAAAGAAATATTTCAAATTCAACAGAGACTTACCAACTGCAATTCAGGTTGGTCAGATTTAATACAATTAATTTCAGATTTGTTGCAGTAGGTGGAAAAATGTTTGAAAATATGACATATAAGTAGTGTGCACCAATGCAAACAAGTTGCTGCATCTTTTTGTTTTTTTCATTTTTCTATCTTACATCTTTGTTTTCATTTTTGTATCATAAAACATTGAAGATGGAAAAATGTTATGTTTTACTTCCCAAATATATGTGTTTAGGAGAGGGGAATGCAAATTTTTTATATCAAATCAAATAAAATCCTTGAAGAGTTTTCTGTGCAACAATATAAGGTTGAACAAATGAAGCAGAGAATAACAGGTATAAAAACCATAAAATAAATAAGTAAACCTTGCATTACGCTCTATATTTTGAAACTGCTTATCCTTGAACATCATGAGATTTAAATTATTCACTGAACCATTTTTTCTTTCCAAAATTCACAGTTTTCTTTTGAGACGCCGTCAAGGCTCCACTCAGTCAAGAAAATAACAATGCAATTAAGCTTCATGGTGTAACCCGATAAGCCATCTAGTTATTCTTCAGCGGGTGCCATGACAACAAAGTGACCGCGACCTGCACACAAAACAGCTCCAATTGTCAAAATAATTGACTGTCAGGGTGCAATGAACACAGAAAGAAGAAACCTCTTCATTCAGAGTCAAACAAAAGTAGTGCCCTTCTTACAATAAGTGTCATTTAAGAAATAAATCAAAAATAAAGAGTTCAGTCTACATCAATAATGCGATCTGGAACAATCCATTTCCATTTACAATGATTAATGCTTTGGATTAACAGTGTTTCCTGGAGTTATGGTGGAAAGTTTGAAGTGCGAACATTGGTTACCACTGACCTATGAACATGACTGAGTAATAGCCGTTTTAAAACCTTCAGCAGTAACACATATTTAAATCTGTACAAACCACACATTTACATCTCGGGAAGATAAATAGCTTAAAAAACACTTGGGTAAAGCCCTGAATCTACTTCTTTACAATAATACAAGATCCTAATAACAATGAAAAATACAATATTTTAAAGGAGTTATGATTTCTCAAAGCCTTTAGAGTTTGAATTACAGTAGCAATAACCCCAAATCCTACAATCACATCATCTCTATGTACAGTAACAGCTTAATTAATGAGATGGTGGTATGTATAGTGATCACAAACACACCAGTGAAACAGCTCAATGCTATTGTTGCTGAACGTCTGCCCGCTCCTCTGAGGAAAGACCGAGATCTTTCTCAAGACAAAAAAACACTTGGTAAAAAAAAGGACATCCTAATAAGCAGTTGTTATGGATAATAAGATACTTAGCTGTGAATACAAATCCAACACCTTTAAAAAAAAAAAAAAACAAACAAAAAAAAACAGATTACATAATAATTCTGAAGAGAAAGCTCATAAAGTTTGTATCCTTAGGTATTATCCTGGAGGTATATCTTTTGAAAGGGTTTTCACTACAATGTAACATACAATGCACAATGCAGAGGCTAGTCAAGCAGATAGTTTGTTTTTATTGGTTGCTCTTGTATCCTTTCTCAAATGTCAACATATCAAACAGTGGTACAACATAGTGCTTTCACTTCAGATAAGTCAATGTTAAGCTATAAATATATCATATTATGACTGGAAACAGTTTTTTTTCCACCTAACCAGTTTAAGTGCTAAACCAAACCAGCATCTTGCTTCATATCAAATTTTTATTTTTCTGCTGCTGGAGCAATGATTTTATCAGCAAGTAGCCAGGGAAAAACAGACGCAGCTCTTATTTTAATATTTGGATCAGTACTATAGTAAACCAGGTATATTTGGCATTTCCATATTAATTATGGATGTTGAATTTTTTTCTTTCTAATAAATACGACTCATCCTTCCAGTTGCTATAACCTCTGCATACTTAATTGTTTATAAGTCCAGTAATTTAGAAATGGCACAAAAATGTTCACAAATATAAGCTGCCATCGTTCTTTAAAAAATCAAATAACCACAGGTTGTAAAACACATGTTGTTTTTAATGTAAATGATCTAATATTAGAGAATATATTTTCAAATGAATGACAAAAACTGGGGAGGTTAAAGTCAGATGAGATTTTGTCAGCTGCCCCAGGCATAGTACAATTTAAAACAATCCTTTAAAAATTTATCTAAAAACAGGTACAGGGTTCTAGAGATTTTACACTGCAAAAACAATCTAGAAATAAGTAAAAATGATTAATATGAGTAGGTAAAAATAAGATGATGGAATTAGATCTTTTACAGTTAAATTAAGATAATTATATGTTTATGCACTCAAAATAAGACAATGCAATGGCTGTTTCTTATTTTAAATATTTCCATTTGCAAAGTGTTTCACTTACCTTATCAATTCGAGAATCACCTAATTTAAGAAAAAAAACTTATTTGGATTAAGTTTTTTTGCAGTGTAAAGACCCACTTAAATTATGTTTAAAATAAACCCCTGAATTTAAACTACAGAACTACTTATTCTGTTAAAATGCTCCAAGTAGTTGGCACTATGCATTAGAATTAGAAGAACGTTTTGGCTAAAATCTTAATGCACTATCCAAAATTGTAACTAAGCAAAAGCTTGCAGCACAAGCTGTAACTAGTCAGTCTGTGTGACATATCAGAGCTCATTAATGAAGAAGGCTAGGGTAATATCAATGTAGATGAGCTCTTTCCTCACACTGTGATCCCTAACAAAATTACTACACTCAACAGAATTTGGGTAACAATATGATGCAATAAATAATAGAAATAACACATTGGCATGGCTCTGCGGTGGCTTTCCAACTACGGAAAAATAAATATGGTTTTCACATTTCTTTATTGGAATAAGTTCAAGACTTTATCTAAAACAAACTTTGGTTTAGCACAAAAACTGGAAAAATCTTTCACATCTGTTCGGAGAAATGTTTAAATATAATGAGCAAATGAAAAAATATATATTTAAATGATAATACTGTATATAAGATATAAGTAAATAATTAGAAATAAATTATTTAAAAAAAATTATATAAGATTGCATGGCAATAGACAAACATGACTCGTTTGTTTCTTGAGAGTTGTATTCACTGTACAGCATTTCATGTTTAAAAAGTTAGACTCCTTTCAGAGAAGTTGGCAGAATATCTACAATATCAAAGAGCTTTTCCCAAAACACGTCTGTTTAACTAAATAGAGCTTTTATGCAACTATTTCTGTGATCTCACTCTGAATCTCTTTGGGGATTTTACAGTGTAGATATTTAGTAACTCTTGCATCTAAAGCATTTCTGTGCTGCTTGCTAAGCGACCCATATTTTACCAGGTAATTTTTTGCAAACATCTGCATCATTGATGGCTGTTTACCTTTTAAGCAGGGTTCAGGTTTTAGATCCTTTACAATAACAGTTAATGTTTCTTGGCTTCCCTGCTGAGTTAATGCAGTTTCTGTTGTTTTTTTTTCGGTCTAGAGCACCAGTGTGTGCTCTCTGTTATTTTTTTATAATGCTGTATGATGGGCAGCTACTGCCAGCTGGTGTTATTGAAAATAATTATTGTCAAAAGGCAACAGTCTTTCATCTGAGACCTCCCACAGACTCAGAGCTGCATTGTCAGAGACGGGTTTGGAGTGGGGCTCGGCCAATCTGACAGAAAAGAAAGAGAAAATAAAGAAGACAGAACCTAAATATAAAGAGGTTATAAGAAGTTATAAAACTTTGCTGAAGAAGATGGATTCTCAATGGTTTCTAACTTGATAATGAAAAAGAATATAAATGTAGTAAGGGTATGCAAAATAGATCTATTTGAATGAGTAAAAAATGACAGTAACAGGGCAGAGGGCTTCACAGACAGATAGGGAGATGGTTACTGTATTTCACATCAGTTGGATTAAGAGGACTTAATTTTAAGATACAAGTCAATTCTTGAGTATTATAAACACCATGTTGTAAAGTAATTATTTTCTCTTTAAATTAAACATGTACTTATGCAGCTGAAAACTCAAATCTTCCAAAAAAAATAAGTTTGGGGGGTTTGTGATGCTGGGAATTAGAGACTATATTCAGTCTAATTTCTTAATGATTTAATATTGTGTTAATCTCTCTTCAAAAGGGCCAATTTATCTTTTATTCTAATTAACTGAGTTTTCTATATTTGTGATGTTATTAAGCTTCAATATACCCTATAACTTAAATTTACAATCCAGATGTTGGTATTCTGCATATGGGTGGGCTGATGAATAGGATAGGTTTAAAATATAAGTGCAAGGTAAAAATGTTACAATAAAAAGTAAATGAGAAGAGAATAAACCATTTGGTGTTTATAAAAATCTTAATTACAGGATGCATTAAAGTTTTCAATTATAAGAAGTAAACCTTGCATTAAGGAGACACTAATGATCTGACCATTTGGAGGCACTTCATTCCCCCAACAAAGACTGTGCGGTAACCTCGAAACAATTTGGGACATTAAATTAAGCTGAAATAATATTTTGTACCACAAGTAACTCTTTTAATGCTGTCAAAGACATTCAATCTAATGGCATCACAAAGGCAAGACTGCTGACTCATAAGATAGTTTGGCATAGACTGACATATAATCAGCGTAACAGGAATTTGGATTTATAAGTGCAGATGAGCCTGGTTAAAAATTACTTGCCGAGTTCTTTTTTGTTTACTGATTTTTTTATTTCTTCATAATCTCCTTGCAAATTTCCCGATTCCATTTGCTTACCCTTGGATGGATGGATGGATGGATGGATGGATGGATGGATGGATGGATGGATGGATGGATGGATGGATGGATGGATGGATGGATGGATGGATGGATGGATGGTCCATAATTTTCATATTTTACTTCTCTGAATTTTGCTGTATTTAGACTATTCCTTCTATAAGGACCTTTCATCATGACTATATGTAATGATGAATGCACAAATCAAAAATTATAAAGAAGAGTCAATATACAGAAACGCTTCTTCATGTAAGGAGCATGCCAGTCATGCATCATCACTTACCAGTATCTGCTTCGTCTACCTCCATATTGCTGTATGCCAAAACAAACAAAAGAAATGAGAATCTGAGCTGACGGTAAGTGAACGCTGAAATGACCAAAAATGCTTTATAAAGGGAAGGAGAAGATGTACTCGGTAAACATTGGCATGTGGTGAGACTGGTTCACCTTGAAATATATTCAACTCACGGAAATAGCTAAAATTACACTATTTGAAAGATATGACATTCAAATTAGCTTTAATTATAGACTTAGGTCTCTGCTGAGCCAGAAGCTGTATCAAGTCAAAATTCATTAAAAAAGCCCACACACAAGCTGCATTATTTAATTAAATGTAGAAGCACATATACTAAAGGTATTTACTGTGAAATCCTTTTGGCCTGGCTCTAAGCACAGAGGCTCCACCTCAATGACTTTCAGAATATTATACCAAAAGGTGTTTCACACAGGACTGATTCTAAACCTGCGTGATAACTCTTAATTAAAACAACTTTCCTGCATTATCAGTTACAGAACAAGCTAGAAACTATACAAATTTTTAAATCTAATTTATAGTTTTCTTTCACACAGTAATGTTTCACCATTTTAACAGCAAAATTATATTGGCAGGCACCTTGAATTTCAATGTATATTGTAAGTTTTAGAGCCAATAAGATCTAAACTCTACCAACCTAAATCAGTTCAATCAAGAATTGTCTAATTTTAAAATTTCAAGATTTTATAAAAAGATACAGAGAAAATATGTGGTTTGATTATATAGCATATTATTTTTTGTGAAAATTAGTGCCTTATTAAAAAGTTGCTATGAAATGTACTCTAGGTAGGCCTATGTGCAAACTGATTTGTGGTCAGCATGTAATATCAGATGGCAGAGGACTATTCTTTATACCCCAAAAATTACACCAACAAATGAGAACGATGACAAAATAGCCAAGGGGCAAGTTAAGCATTCCTCCAGCAGGCTCCATGCCAACTTGCACCATCATCTTTCTGTCTATGTGTCAAGGCCTTATTGTGGTTCATTCTCAGCAATGCAGATTTCAATAAGTTTTTGAACTTTTTTTTTATTAAACCTTTTATTTACCAAGCTGCATCTCTCTGCTTGTTTACATTTGGGTCCAACTACGTCACAACAAATTTGACCCAAATTTGTATAGACTTAGGTAGAGGCGGCAACTCTCCCTATGGTATAAAATATTGTTGCCATGACAACGACATCTGCTGTGGTGAAGTGACTACAGATCAACACTTTGAAATCTGCAACGTGGGGGGGGGGGGGGGGGGGGTAATTTCATACTCATTGGCTAAATGTCTCACAGAGAGCTGCTAAACAAGCAAACCAACTCAGATGGTTACAAAGAGAACAAAATCAAAGAAGGCTCTAACACGCCTGTTCAATTTACAGTATACTTAAAATAGGAGGATCTTGGTTGGCTGTTAGGTACATTTTTTGTTGTGGATTTGTAAAGTGCATCATGTTGCTCTGCATCATCATTCATCACAACGTTAGTTGTTTTACAATAATTTGCTCAGTTCTGGATGTTGTTTAGATAAATAAATATTTGCATGGCCAGGTAATCTTGTTTATGCTATAATTTTACCAATTTCATGAGAAACATTAGTACTAAATGAACAGAAAATAAAACTGTTAAAAGAAAAATTATCAAAAAATAGTTTTTTTCTAGTTTTTCCATAAATATATTTTTTTTACGATTGCAGGAATCATTTTTAAACATTCCGCCTATATAGAAAATTCAATTTCCTTTTATATAGCCAACTACTAAATATTCCTAACAACCAGAAGTCAGAAAAAGCTAAAGTTACCTTGAAAAGACATCATCGAAACCATCCTCCACATCCTGTTGAGACACAACTTTGTTGATTAATGTACACACAAGATCCTGTAAATCATTATCTAGCATCTTTTATGCTGAGTAAGCATTTTCTTACAGCATTTATCCTAATTTACCAAATATTTTTCCAGGGAAAACACGGAATACCAAAAAATTGGTACAGTTATTTTAGAGATAATAGTGACATCTTGTGTGAAACATTTGGAACTACGTGAAAAATAAGAATGCTTTACATTAAAAGATACAACATTTTGCATCCTTTCAAACAGTACAGTAAACCAAAGAAAGCTTATAATTCATTATGATTGATCATGTTTGGACACAATAGAAAATATCTCCTTCATTTACCTAAGTCCTATACTGCACCTTATCAATTTCATATTTTTTTTAAATAGGAAATCTACTTTCAATCTGCACAATCAATTTTTTGTTTCAGAAGGCCGAAATTTAATCTAAACACAACAAATATGACATAAAAATGTAAACTCATAGCAAAACATAGCACTACATTTACCTAAGAGGATATAATTATGCAAAGCAGACCTTAAAACTCTCTCCAGATGAAAAGTCAAATAACAAAACAAATTTTAAATTATTCAAGATAATAATTATTTTAGTTTTAAGTATTCAAACTTTCCATTTGAACATTTGTTTTGTTCTGAGAAAGGAAAAACCTTGCAGGCATATCTTGTTTCCCTTTGCAAGGACATTTAGCCTGTTACTTACCCAAGAGTCATGTTTAATCGGCCGTCTCCTGGTGGGGTTACTGCGAGGCAATGGTGAGCTGAGAGAAGCTGAGAATAAGGGCCTGCGGGGCTTCTCCTCTATCCCACTGGGCTTATGTGCTGCTGGATGTGAGGGGGATGGCAGGTGTGGAATGGAAGCTGACGTAGAGACATGCAGAGGACAGTTAGGAACAGATTGAGTAAGGGAATAAATGTACATAAAAATCGAGACACAACAGAGATAATGTCTGACTTTTTTTTAATCAGTGCAATGCTAGGAAAAGCATTTTTTATCCCCCTTAAAGATTTCTTCTAACTTTTAATTTTGTCACAGTTAAAACATTTAGTTTCGCACATAAATAAGATAAAAAGCTACCCAAACAACCCCATGCGAAAATATATTTGCCCCTTGGTTGAATATTAATTTCTCTGTGATTTACCACATTTTTGGTGGGTTTATTTTCCCAATCGACATGTCTGACTACTCTCAGATCAAGTGGAGAAACAACTAAATATGTGTCTGACAACATGAAGTTGTTAAAAAAAAACAAAAAACAATACAATTTTCCAAACCTAAACTAATTTATGAACAGATAAGTAACAATAACATCCATCTGTCTGGAATATTTTTTTTAGATTTCAAGGATTGGGGTGTGCCAAGGTGAAAGATCATCCATAAATGACTTAATGATTAAAACAAATGATTTAACGGTGAGTCTATATTCCTTCCCTTACCTATGTTCATAAAATCTGCATCATGATCGAAAGAAATAGATCCCAAGTACAAGTGGCCTGTACAAATATGAGTACGGGAAAGAAAAGGCTTGTATATTTGGAGGCAGTCCAGATGTTCAGAATGTCTGTATATATACTTCAATTTGTTACATTTTTAAGAGAGAAATACTTGAACTGACTAAATCTGGATTATTTAAAACTGATCAAAAATGAACAATTAAGTAGTAAAGTCAGGATTTCTTGACTCTCTCAGCTAAGAACTTTTTGACCTTTTAAAGTCAAGTCAATGAAAACGTCTGCTGCTGGCCTTCAACACTAATTGTTATTCACTGTTAATGTGGTTTCCATCAAAGTTTGAGGAGTGGCAGAAAAAAAAATGTATCCACAGCTACATATTCACAGTCCTCATTATATTGTCCATATAATAACCCCTAAAGGTCATTACTGGGACTCCAGTTCCAGCATGGTGCAAATAATCCACAGAATTCCTAGTAAGAGAAAATGTCAGGAACATTTTACTTATATACTGAAATAGATAGAGAAAGGCAAGAAATATGCCTGTGCTAATTAGGCACTTGCCATCTCAATAGCAGTGGAGTAGGAAATTGCTTAACCTTTGTAAGTTTACAACAATTTAAGCAAAAGGTTACAAAAAAAATAAGTCATCTCTGTATCAGTCTCATAAACCTTCTGCCATTCCATTCTGACAGTATCTTGTGTGCGACTGATACTGCAGTTTGGAGGGACACATTAATGAGAACTTATTAAAATGGTCACACCTCCTGGAACACACTGTGTTTCTGTCGTCTCCATCTGGCCGTCACTGGCTGCACAGGAACAGCAGGTCCTCGCCTTCTTGTTTTTGTCTACAAACACAAAATATAGATAAGAAAATAAGAACCATGCAAGATGTAAGTCTTCATTTTTCATCTAGTCCCAAGTATGTTTCTTTGTTAAAATAAGTTTTACAAGGAGGACGAGGTTAGATGTTGCATATTTTTAGTTGCACATCAACTTACCTTCCTGAGCAATTTCCCAAAGATCTAGTGCTACTTTAAATGCCTGAGCTACTGTTAAGGTTACAGCCTGAGCCTGGAAGAGAGAGAGAGAGAGGCAGTACAGTAATGTAACACACACACTTAATGATTTAAGTTTATATTACTGTTTTTTGTTTTCTTTTATTGTTTTAACATTTAACTTAAAAAAATCACACACATTTAACAGTTTTAACCTTTTTTCTCCTTTTGAGTTTTTAAAAGCGTTACTGTTTAAAGAAAAGAAAACTGATGTATTTTTAAGGCATTGATAACTGACTTCAACCATAAATAATAATCCAGCTACATGTAAACTAAGTTCAATTAGAAGATAATTTAGCAGAGAGCAGGGCAGAAGGTGGTATGGAAATGATTGGCTATACAAGAAACTGGTATAACAGTCTCAACACTTGTATTATCAGCATCTGAAAGTCATTTAACATGATAAGGAGAAAAAAGTGAGGCCCCATAAATGTACTGACAGTTGCATAATTGTGTCTCAAAAGATTTTTGATTGATTCACTTTTTTTTTGAATGGGTCTGGGTAGTAGACTCGAGCAATACCTGAATACAAAGTAAAAATGGCATAAATAATATCTATAAGTGCATTACATGTATTTTGGACTGATTGTTTGATCATGGTGACTTTCACCTAAATTGCTAATGTAAAATAATATATAAAAATGAAAACATAAGCAAACAAATTATTAGACTGAACTATGAACATTCAACTAATAGAATTTCCACTAGATGGCACTACAGAACAACCTGAATAATACAGTATGTATTTTCATGAGGTTCCTCATCTATACAAAAATAAACAACTTCAGTTTAAAGTAATATTCAAATGCCAACTGTTCAAATCTCTATATAATGTTGAATCTTATAGTCTATAGATGGGTGGATGTGTTCCATACTTACAATTTTTCTTTTTTGGCAGAGAAATGCATGACACTCAAGAGTCTCATTGAACTGACTTTGGGAAACATAAGCGAAGACCTTGTCCTGAGTTTTATCTGCGGTGCAGTATGAGATTCTGGAAAAAAGCAAAGCAAAACAAAAAAGGAGAATATGATAGTATCAAAATTTATAAATTACTTGATTCACACGAGATAGATCTTTGCAGAGTTCTTTGCAGAACAAAGCATTTAGGATTAAACCTTGTCAGTGTACTAAACACTTATACAGGGACATGTCACATTGAGAAAAATGTTTACAGGAAAATGCTGACAAAGATATAAAGTAAAGAAGGATGCCCTAGAGAAGTGAGGGGAGAAGATGTGCATTATATTTCAGATTACAGAAAACATGTATCAATAAAACACACACATGGGGAATTTAAGATTTTTCAAATTGTTTGAAAATCTTACACAGCTATCTCCTGCTTCATTATTTATTAGTCTTGCCTCTAAGCCCACTTGGTGTGTTTTTTTGTTTTGCTTTTTTTAAGTTACATGATCATTTTTCCATGAGTGGGTGGTAGCATGCCTCCTTCAAAACACTGTGAATGTTGTAGGAGTACTGCTGAAATACAGACTGTACTTCCGACACACGAGGGAACGTCAGTTGAACTCAGATGATCTTTATTAACTGAGAAATCATGTTATTAACTTATCAAAAGCTTCTTGAATTACGTCTATCACTTTCAAATGAGGAAACATAAATAAATTTAAGATTATCTTATTACACAGTTTGTAAATGCTGCAATTAGATAAGTTTTATTGATTTTAACTAAATAACTTCTTTGGGGCTCGGGACCAGGCAGAAGACTTCGATGAGTAACCTAAGAAACGGATTAGAGTAGTCTTCGCCAAGAAAAGATGCTGTGGCTGAGATGCGAGACCAGACCCTCAAGCCACGGTGAAAAGGGATAGAAATAGAGAGAGAAAGGAGGGAGTGTTTAGGGCATAAGGTAAAGAATAAAAGGTTATGGGATAGTAAGGATGAACATTTGACGGGCATGATTAGACTGACCAATGTATGATGATGAAGACTGAAATGCTGATGGAGATGTGATTGGTGAACTGGTGGAGTGTAACAACACAGTCAAGGGATCTGGTTTGGGTACTGCTTAAAAAGGCTGGAACACAGGTGGATGAAATGAGCACTGATGAGAGTGAGTGGGAGAGGCACAGGTGTACCAAACGGGCAATCAGTGCCAACTTTTGATTGGACTTTTGTACAGAATACTACTTGCAAAAAGAAATCGTAGCATAATATATATATTTTTTTAATTATGAAGGTAATTCTATTTTTTTTTATATGTTTTAGAAATGCCAGTGACAGTTACCTCAAAATGACTGAATGCCTGGGATTTAATGCACTTTGTTTGATGTTTTTATATTAGATATCATAACTTACTTATTAAAATAACTATAGGAGCTGAATGAGGTCACGCTGTGTGAATATTTATTGTAGGTTATTCATCAGTCATGTTATTTTTAAAGGCCATCGTTTTATTAAAAACATGATAAATTATTTTAAATAATGAATTATGAATTGCACTATTTTACTAAATCCAAAACAGTAATCTTAAAAGGAAGATAAGGTTTGATTTACATATCTGTAATTTCTATTGTTACCAAATCTCTGTATCAGCCCTGGTGGCCGGCTACCTTGTGGGCCCTGCCGCCTGCCCCTGGCCCCCGGGCTATGGTGGTGCGACTGTTGGGGGCTCTGGGTGAACGGGGGGGGGCCTATTAGAGTCAGCCTCTGCCTGCTCCATCACACTACAACACATGTAGGTTCTTGGGGAGGCGGTCGTTACTGGAAATCTTTTTCAGAAACAGGACAAGGGCAGGGAGATGTTATTTCTCTCTACAGACCTAATCTCGAACATGAATGTCTAATCTAAAGCCAGCTTCTCCCCCCCGGCTCGACATAGAGGGTACTGTAGGTACATGTGAACATCACTGTTGATTGGTGACACCAGATAAATCTTATCAACGTGGCTTGGATCTCTGTCTATGCTGCCATTATTACAATAAATAGTAAACTGTGTTTAAAGGAGAATGACTGACACTCAGCTGCACCCTCACTGAAAAGAGAAGTGGGAGGGAACAAAAAATGAAAGTCATTTTAAGACCGAATAATGAGCATAAAATCAGCAGTGCTCACTCTTATTTTGTTTGCTGGCATGCAACACTGACCCACATTGCAATGCCCAGGACACATACTTCCCCCCACGCTCTAACTTATATTTGGGCTGTAATTGCATAAAAAGATGCATAGAGGAAATGTTGAGAGGTTTGACCTATTTAAGGGTTAAAAATAAGTGTGATAAAACCAAACTTTTGCAACTGCTCAATATAAACTTAACTACTATATTTGGTTTCTTTAAATGTGCAGGACTAACATAAATAAGTTAAATAATAAAAAAAATTTGTGTTGCTGTTGGATTTGGAATTTACATTTTTGGTTCACCCACACTGGCAACAGGAATGAGGGGAATAAAGGCAAAATGTGTAACAATATTAAAAATGTATTGTTTTAGAAAATAAAACAGTAATCTAATACTAATGAGATAATGCTTTAAATGCATGCCTAAATTCATGTGTGTAAATGCATGCTGTAAATGCGAGCTTTGGTGGCGCAGTGGTTAGTGTGCCCGACGCATGTACGGAGGCCTTAGTCCTTGAAGCGGCCATCCTAGATTCGAACCTGGCCTGGTCCTTTGCCACATCCATCTCCCACTGTCTCGTACCCCACTTCCTGTCAGCCAACAGTACAAAAAATGAGCCAATAGTGCCATTAAAAACCTCAAAACAAAATGGAGTGCAATGCGCTGGTGAAGATTGTGTTATCCAGGTCATAGTCATTCCAAAAAAAGAAAATTAAAAACAATCTACTGGACTTTGTTTCCAAGATTAGAGACATTTCGCTTCCCATCCAGGGAAGTTTCTCAATTAAAAATGTTACGAATACCGTTGAGTTTGAGGTTTTATACAGAAGCCCAACAAAGCCTTGTTTTTGTTTTGAAAACATGCAAATTAAAAAACGGACGAAGGGCTCCATCCCCTTGGGATGGGGATCGTTTGGCTTCTTTAGTTAGCCTGCAATGCCCCATACCCTTCTAAATGTCTGAAAGGTCGGACCTTAAAGGGAGTCATTGGCCTTGCTGAATAGGCAAGGTCCTCCGCTCTGCAGTACAGGGGCTGGGTACAATCTGGGATTCATATGAAAAATTATATAATATGGTGTACTTTTCTAGAGGTTTGTTAATTTGCATAGTTGATCTTAAATAAACACACTCTCAAAGAATAAATAGCTTTTCTACATATAAAAAAAAATAAAGCTGACTAATAGCTTCTCCGTTATCCAACTGGTACATTATTTTTTTTAGGTTTGTGACACAATATTGGACTGTGCTAAATACAGGTTTGCCTTCACAAAGCCTAAGGGAAAGATTTATGTACATCTTCATATAAATATACTGGTGTAATAACTTAATATACATTTGATTGGTTTTTGGTATACAACTATTTTGAATTTATGGACTGTGGGAGGAAGCAGGAGTAAGGAAAGGACATTTTTATTTTTATAGCACAATTCATTACATGGACAATTCAAAGTGCTTTACATGAATTGGATAATAAAATAGAAGAAAAATAAAACCAGAAGAAAAAAATTAAAAAAATAAAAATAAAAGAAATAGACTACAAATAAAGCAGAATAATGTAAAAAAAAAAAAATAAATTAAAAAAAAAAAAAACTGAAAGAACCCACACATTCATGGGGAAAACATGCAAACTCCATGCAGAAAGAACAAACTGCGCAACTGTGTATTCAATAACAATGATTTTTTTTTTTTTTATAGTATGCATAGTATGGATAAGTGTTAACCACCCATGGTAGCGCAAGCTACACAGAGCCTTACTAGGAGCATAGTTTCCTCTTTCTTGCATAGTCCTGTCCCTACTAATTATCTTGTGGGTTTGCTCACCCAAAGGAACGCTGCAGATATGGATTCTCTTCGGACAGATTCAGGCAAGAAAACACTGTACTTACACCTGACTGGCTTACTGTTCTGATCTCCGTGACAAACTGTGAACGTCCATCTAAGTACACAGATCAATAACTCGTCCTAACCTCTACTCAGGTTCAGTTTCAAAAATACAGTAGTATATCATATATAGTGTATAATAATAAAGTGCATTAGAGTATAGGTAACAGAGACATATTTACTGTTTCTATGCTTTTTTTTTAAACTATAGTTGTAATGCATTCTTATAATAATGTCACACGTTTGTTTATCTAAAACTATATTTACTTGGCTAAAAATACTGACAGGTGGATTTTGTAGAATATCAAATCCTGCCACTTATATCACTTTTGCATGCTTTTCAATAACGAAGATTTCTCGTTAAATATGTGATGTTAAAGCTAAGAGTCTAATTTCCATCTCCGGGACAATTTAAAGGTTGGTTATCAATTAGGGCTTAGCATATTATTGCATATGCAATATAATCACAAAAAAAAAAGCTATTTTCAAGTCTTAGAGTCATTCAGTTTTAGTCATTTTACATTTGGCACTAAATTTCTCCCTCCAGCCCTTTGGTTTGCAGTAATACCGGTACTCTTATTGTTATTTTGCTGAAAAGTAGAGAGACAGTTAAGTCTTCCAACAATGGACTCTGGACATGCAAGCTTTAAAGGCAACATAAGGTTAGGTTAGGTTCTACATCCACCTCTTCACATCACAGATGACCTCACCCTATTACTAGAGGTTCTACATCTACCTCTTCACATCACAGATGACCTCACCCTATCACTAGAGGTTTTACATCTACCTCTTCACATCACAGATGACCTCACCCTATCACTAGAGGTTTTACATCTACCTCTTCACATCACAGATGACCTCACCCTATCACTAGAGGTTCTACATCTACCTCTTCACATCACAGATGACCTCACCCTATCACTAGAGGTTTTACATCTACCTCTTCATATCATAGATGACCACACAGTATCACTAGATTGTCTATACCTACCTCTTCAAATCATGGATGACCTCAACCTATCACTAGAGGTTCT